GGGGGGGGGGGGGGGGGGGGGGGGGGGGGGGGGGGAATACTACATATTTGGAGTGGATCCTCCAGTTTCTAGGTTCAGATAGTGCAGATTTTATTACAGCATGAAAATACATAAAAACTTAAGTACGATTAAAGCGGCGAATTTCAGAAAGTTGCATCATATGTTAGCGAGAGTGATATTAGCTTCGGGCGCATTTATCCAAGCACTCATCGAATTCGAGAAGTTTCAGCCGGCATAGCACTCGAGATTGGAAAGTACAGCTACAAGGTTATACAAATTTTTTTAAGATCAGAATTTCGCGATAATTTTTTTTCACTCAGAAAAATAAATTCAGTGTTCCCCGTCTCTGATTCGTTTTATCAACAACGACGTAGAGATTTTCTCCAAAAAAACAGGAGTTTCCCTTAAGGCAGTTTTGGAAAGTTTTGAAAGCGTTTGTTACTGTTTCGTTGTAGTTCATTAATTGATAATTTAACAAAAATAAAATATTCCAAAGACTACCTGGGCATCGATGTTGAACCCGTGGGCTCGCGTCCTACTCCATCACACCCAGTACAACTAAGTCAAATTTTTTTTTGCTCTGAAAACTGTAGGAATCATCCTTGGATTGTTCAAGTGACCTTTTCTCTCAAAAGTTCACGTTACATGTCGCTTGTTACGGCAAATTTTGCACGTTTTTCGATTTTTATTCCTCGTTTGATCTTGTATGGCACTGGTCTGACGAAAAATGGAATTTAGTTTCATTAAAAGTGTCAAAAAATGGAGACGTCCACCAAAAAAGCCGGTGCGATCACATATTAGTAGACAAATATGCCTTCAAAAGTATAAAAAAAAGATTGGAGCGCGCTGTTATGATCATACAACCCCTTAGTGATTGTAGGCTGTCTAAATTCCAAATTTTTGGCTTACGACATTTTGGAATTTTATTTTTAAAGAGAATTTGAAGCCCCGGTTTGTAGACTTGAGGATGCAAAAATGTTTTAGTACGAATTTCAAATCTATTGAACTGTTTGGCATACATACTCTCGAAATGCAGAGTTTTTGTAGTTTTTCTCGCTTTAGAGTATAATGTTAGATTTAATACAGAAAATTAGGATACAAAGTGACTTGGATCTTAATTCCAAGTTTGTCTGGATGCTGACTAACTCCATCCGTTATGTGCTGGGACTGCTAAAGCTTGCCTAATCCAATTTTTGAATTGCAGCATGGTATAGCAGGTCTCTATCCACAGCCAGAAGATATGGAAAAATATGTTCAGTCTCAAATATATTCTGTACATTATGATGAACTAATCTGTGAGCCGTATTGCTGGCCAAAAGAAGATATGAACAGAAACGTTGTTGTTCCATCAACTGCAGAGAAAAGTATATGAAGAAAGTGACATTCGTAGGATTTT